ACGCCGACCGATACTGATCAACGTTATACGCACTCAGCCGCGAGACACATCGCTTTCTACTGAGGAACGCGCATTGTTCGCATACGAGCAAGAAATTGATTCGCGTCAGATGCAATTAAACAATAACCCAACGGAGGATTCCACTTTCCCGGACAACGGAATGATCCAACGATTCCTTCATGGGATGATCCAATGATTCCTTCAGCCGATTAAAATTATGTCGGACTCCATGCGCCCGGAAGGAGGCCATGAGACATTCGGGACAACAGTTCGAGAGTATGGGTTATACGTGATTGTCGCCATTTATTGGATCCAGGCACCAATTTGGCCAACGACGATTTCTTTTACAGCACCGGGAGGATCCTACTACAACAGCGCAGGCAGTGCCAAGATAGCGACCCCAGTCTTTCCTCGAAACAATCCCCACGTACACAGCCACACCGCGTTATACCTGGCAGGTTGTCGAAGCCGAAATCTGACATGACGCACGGATTCAGCGGGAGTTCTGCACGCAAGCGTTATACACGCTATCACCACTGAGATTGATTGCAGGCAACCGTTCAAACGAATCTATAATACAAATCTCAGTATGCTCACCAATGCGCTGGGAGCTTTCCAGGCAGCAGGAAGATCGTTCATCAGTATAGCGTATCCGGACATCCAGGTTCCATACAAATCTCAGTATGCTCACCAAGGTGCTGGGAGCTTTCCAGGCAGCAGGAAGATCGTTCATCAGTATAGCGTATCCGGACATCCAGGTCACAGCGATCCTAGATGCTTATGATTCATGAAACCAACCCAAACAGTGACACATGCTGAGAGGACGCTGAAATCCACCTACAGTTATCATGGATCATCGGTGGTCCAGGCATACACAACAGCTAACATCTGCCAGCCCATATAACACCTACCGAGGAACTAATGCACAGCAGCCGTATCAAAACAAGCGTGGGCGTTCGATAATACGCTCCCCGACCACCCGTAGCCCAGGTCGAGCGGATCACCATACACGAGACGATAGGTACGGTAACGGACGACGCGCGCCTTCTATCGAATGTCTACTTCAATGCTCCAAGTGTACACTGCGACGCAAGAGTCATCAGTGCCTGGTGTGACACATGTTCCAAGACTGGCCACTATCACAACAAGTGTCTATCGCACTCACACACGGAAGCTAATGCGGCAATACCACACTCTACTGCAATGACAAGCGGAATGAAGGGGTCTAGTCACAACGGCACTTTGCGAAGAAGCACCAATACGCAAATACAATGATACAGGCGCACAGCCTTCAATGATAATTCAAGTGATTATAAAACAGCTTAATTCTGGGCTTCGAGATACCAATCCGATTTACTTGCACGTGTACGGCGGGACAGGCAAAACCATCCTTACCCAGCAAGTGCAAATTACTTATTATCGGAGGGGCTAATATCTACAAGGGTGGCTACCAAGTGTGAGACACACGAGATAACATTTCTGGTGTCGGAGTGGATTCCACGAGATTGTGACATCCTACTGGGATTCAATACTTTGCAGGACAACCTAATTGGTACCACGTGGGGCGCGGATACGTTGCCTCCTACATTCACACTGCGGTTGCCAATACTGCAACCGGTCATATTCTTGGTGCTTAGAGCACTGGACTACAAGGTCACAACAATGGATGAGGTCCGAGCAGCCGATCTGGATGCGGACGCTAAAGAATACGACTTCGCACACCTGGACCGAGTGGCCGGTCTGCTACACAAGTCACCGAAGATCAACGAAATAAAGCTAGAATTCAATGCAGTGGCTTTCGACGCTAATCATACAAAGAAGATGAGAGACTACAGAAGTAGACGTATTTCTATATACGTTAATAACGTTTTACGTCGTCAGCACGAAGTAATTCGGGACTTGTATTCAAATTAATATAAGTATAGATGGGCCAGCCCGAGAGAACGTAAGAGTCATTGAGACCTCTTCTCAGATTATTCTATTTATAGGACACGTGCCACCGGCTAGCCGAGAGCCGAGGTCCGAGACTGAGTGTAGTAACAGAAATATGATATATTCATTTCTAGAGAATATATCCGAGTGCTAAAGTGTTCTGCATAAGGTTTCTCATACTGATCATATGAGTTTTTACCCTGGACAACCCAAGTGGTTGAACATTAATACAAACATCATCAGTATATAACTGAGGGTGAGATCATAAATAAATTCGTTCGAACGCATCATACTTTAGATACACTTGCGCTTTACATATAGTCCCCCACATTGCACTCTAACAGAAGATTAAAGGTGTAAAGCTTAGACTACACTTTATAAAAGACGCTCAGCCCTCAGGACGAGTCTATTCACACGTGACCCGGTCTTAAAGGAAATTGAACTTCTTAAAGTGGCACAATTACACCAACGTAAGAAAGCTGAACCGGGTGACGTTTTAAACGGTGATCAAAGATAAAAGTAAAACTGAAACGAAGGACGACTATAGAGCCACGACCAACTACGTTCTCGTGAATTAGCAAAGAAACAGGATTGTGTTCCACTTGCCGCTGGAAGCAGAACTCAGCGAACATTGTACCAGTGCAAATATCGTGACAGTATGCGACATGACGGGGTCCTACCATCAACTGGAATTGAACGAGGAGTCGCGGGTATTACTAGCATACGTAACTGCAGACGGCGTGTTCCATTGTTCTACATACATGCTTCCAGGAGGGCATCGAGACATGCAACATTGCACAACTACCATCGTCGCGGAGATCACGGATGCAAAATCATATATGGATGATGCACCTATTGCAACAAAGAACTTAGCGTCAGATCTGTACGGAAATATTTGCTTCGTCATTGGGACCAGGTCTTGCAGGTCGTGAGCATTTGCATAGTTAACGACATCCAATTACAGCCACCAAAGAACAAACAATTCATTTTGGCGGACGTGCCTGTGCAGTTTTACGCTACATAGAGAACATATCAGAAATGCGTCTACTATACTTCAGAAGAGGGCGATAGCGTTGTTCAATCATCCGGCACCTAAGAATAGGGCAGAGCTCTTTTCCCTTTTAGCGGTGCTTTCGTGGCGGGGACGATACTTCCCAAACATGGCTCGTATAGCGGCCAGGTGAGAGACACTACAGATAAAAGCATTAACACGCCTATTACTGCTAGTCATGCGATGCGAAGCATTCAGTTATACCATCCCCTTCCGCACCAGCTATTAGTCATAACGCCTGACGCTAGCAATGAAAATATCGACGCTTCAATTCTCATTCAGATCCCGTCACTTGGCTAAATGTACTTGACAATGCGAGAGGTATAGGGCGAAGCTAGGCCATTCCCCAGTAGTAATACATCCACAAACACCTCGTTAGGTTTAAACAGACAAAGAGAATGCATTGTACCCAGACAACCGGAGGATCCGGTGATGTAAACCCCAATTGGGAAGTCAACAACTCTGGCAGGGTTTATACCATACCAATCATTGAAGGACGCCTCAATGGTTATTATTGACGCAAGGAGTCATGCAACAGCTCAGAGTGGTACACTCGATCTGAATCCATGGAGTGGTCCACTTGTTGGGAGGGGTTCCCCTAAAAACTCAATTCAGCAGAGTGGTATACTTACTGGGAGTAGTTCACTTAACCAAAGAACGCAGAGTGGTCCACTAGCTGGGAGTACTTCACTTGATAGGACACAGAGTGATACACTTGTAAAACAACAACGAATTGACAACCAATACACGCAGTTAAGATCACCTCTATGGGGCATACCTCCTTCTACTCACCCTTCAGTGTTACCGGTGAATATTTCTAATGTGGACACAATTTAGAAATTTGGTACGCTCGCCAGTCACTCACCTCAAGACTATGATATTAGAATCGGCCCGGTGCGATTTCTCTATCCATCTTCACTCTTCTGTAGCTAGCCCAATGCTGCTCAGCGCAACTATGGCGATACTAACAGGGAGATGGCAGAATGCGCATATTCTATTTTCAGAAACTTTGCGATCTGTCGGAGGTCAGTGAGGGAGGTAAATTTATATCCCAAGCTAGCTGGTCACAAAATTCCATCTGAATAGCATGATTGATGTGAAATTCTTTGCTAGCGTACACGATCGCATTTTGGATGTTTATACCGCATCGGGTGGTACCGGTATTTGAGGTTGTGAGGATGCGTATGCTAATTGCCCCTGGCCGCTTGTACACGAATCTCTGCTCTCGTTTGTGTAAGATTCGGTCTAACGCCTTAGAGTAATTAGTGAAATTCGAAGTAAATAAACGAATGAGTCTTTTGGTAAATTTAGGTATGCCTCGTGAAAACAGCAATACTCTGAGGGATTGTGAGGCTGGGACATTGCCTATATATAATCCTCTCAGTAGTGTTTCGTTGCTGCTCTAATAGATACTATGGTATGTTTCGTTGGGGCGAATCCGAGAGACTCATAAAATCCTATCTTTAGAAGAAAAAAAGAATAGAAAAAAAAATACTCCTGATGTCCATAGTTATTGCATCAACCAATAACTTGCCACTTATCAAGAATTACCGACTTAGCCTTCATCAGACTGGCACATCCGGTTGGCTGACCGGAGGATAAACAAAGCAACGTTATTAGTCCTTAGAAACGTATGGTCCGTTGAGCCATCTCGCTACCGAAGTATTCAGATATAAATAGATCTGGTAGGTTAATATAGTTCTATTAATAGAACTATACCAAATCTTATATTTGGTGTTTTACTGGGGCCTTTTAATGGCCTTGGCCAAATATCTGATATGTAAAATGGAAAAGGTATTAATTAATTAAACCGTTAAAAACTATTTAGGAAACTTAAGTTCCTCGTACTATTAAGAGTACGTTTATAGTTTACGTACTGCTTAAGAGTACGTTTATAACATAGAGTCTAACGTAGAGGCCCGGCTATTACATTTACGGACATTACTAACACAGCGGTGAATATGGTGGTACTATTTATTATTTTTGAAATAAATAATATTATCCCTATTCGTTCACAATGATGCATGGCGCGCTCTACTTTTCTATGATTGCCGATGTCATACCCATCATCATTTCACACAGCCCGGACACGGGTCTCCGTAACGGTAACCGCATAGTTCAATTTTCACCATGGAAGTTCACGTTAATGGCTAAGTTGGCGGGCGGTAAAGTCGACCCGTCGATCATTCTTCCTCAGGAGTTTTGGCGACGCCTTGACTTGAGCGGTCCGTCGCCGGCACCCCATGGGTTGGGTTACCGATTGACTCTATGTTTTGCCACTACACGATCGCAGCAAAGCGATTCCTCACTAAATGTCATGGCAGAACTGATGGAATACAATCGTCGACTGCGGCAGTCGAACGGGCGCAAGAATTACAAGAAGACGCACCTGGAAGTGGCGACCAGCAATACCACAAACATCTCAGAGATACCACCAGTGTAGAACTGAATACCACTTTCAAAAAAACTCACAGACCCCACCAAAACGTTGACTTGAAATTTGGATTTTCAATCAATATATAAATA